TATTACCAATGGATTTTATTAAATTATTTTATGACTAATAAAATAATAATAATTTGATTATTGCAAATCAATCAAAATATAGAAATCTTAGAAATGAAGATAAAGTTAAAATAAAAAAGCTGAATCCTCTCAAATGAAATTATAAATTAATATTATGTATTACTATTAATAGCTATATCCCTCTTAAATACTTTTCTTTAAAGATTTTAAAGTAAAATTTTATCAGTTTCCTTATTTTTTCCAATCAAACTACAGAAGTTAATTATAAAATAAACAATTTTTTTAAAAACTTTTTAATTAACTATAATTTTTATTTGAATATCTTGATTTTGGGTATACTTTCTGTTTTTAAGGCATGCTTATCAGGATGGAACAAAACACAATTTTTTTGGAGGACAACTTATAAATATCATTCAAAAGTTTTTTTTATATGTCAACAAAAACACTACAAAATTTTGTAGTTAAACATTTATATCTTCAGGTTCTGCAAGAGGCTACTAAAATGGTTTTAATCTAACATATTATTTTTTCCTTCCGCTTTAGTTTTACTTTTTCCTTTTTATGAAATATTGTTTTTAATAACTATCAATAGACTTCTCTTTATTATAACAATAATGCTTTGAAGTTTGGGTGCTCTAAATTTATAGTATAATTTTTCCTGAAATTGAAAGAAATGAACTTTTTATAAAAAAAAATCATAATAATTCTGAGATGAATTAATCTATCATAATCAATTTTATAACTTTCAAATAGTTGTTCAAACACAGTTTTAAAAATAATATCTAAAACACATGAATAATAATGAAAATCAACTTAGTAACAACTTGTTTCAGATTTTCTGTTTTAAAGAGATTTTAAGAGAGGACATAAAAATAAAATGTTTATTATTTATTAATTAAAACAATTAATTCACTATGGTAAAATAAAAAAATCTGGTGCAGTGAATGCATCACACAGCTTTTACTCACTACTCTTATTTTAGCAGATATAGGTATTTTCAGACTAAGGGAAGGGAAAGTATAAATTACAGATGGCATAACTAATAATTTAAACAATTAATTATCATGTTTTTCACAGCCGCCTAATGTATTATATTTATGCTTCTATTGGTTTCCTTTTATGATTGGTTATTTTAATTATAATAAATCATTAAGTGACATGAAATATTTTTAGTCCGACAACACTGCCATTGATAATGAAGTCCGCTGAAGATTGCAGGCCCCAAAACCAATTTCTTTTCAATAATGTATATATGTATACTATTGGAACCCGTGTTACATATAGAAGCCTATTCTAACCTTTGACCAAGCTTGGGTTTCTTCAGTCCTTAATTACGATCATTTTCTTAGATTCTTTCAAAGTTTGTATTTAAAATTTTTTTATTCCAGATTATAACATGAAATGGTTAATAATTCTTCTTCTTTATCATCCTCCTTTGTGCCTCTCAGAGTGGAGGTGCTCTGAACCAGGACTGCCAAGCCTCCCGATATCGAGCCATTGCTTTCATAGAATTCCCCTTCTTTATAGGGATGGACCCAATCATGGAGATGTGGTCCATCCATAACAATCCAGGTCTTCCTCGAGGACAGTGTCTGATAGACCTGGCCTCAAAAAACTCTTTGGATTACGGTCCTCATCCATTCTTCGTAGATGACCAAACCATCCCAACTGCCTCTTTTCGACTGCTTTCCTCAAAGCAGGCACTTCCAGGTCTCCTCGTATCCTTTCATTCCTAATTCGGTCCCTCCTTGTTTTGCCTGCTATTCTCCGGAGGTACTTCATTTCTGCAGCAGTAGTTCTACTCCAGTGCCTGTCCAGCGGCACCCAGCTCTCACTTCTATAAATAAGGGGAGGTAAGTATATGGACTTAAAGATCTATAATTTTACACTTTTTTCCAATTCCTTTTTCTCCATCACTGTGCTGCATAGATGGTAGTATATGCTGTTAGCTCTCTTAATCCCGTTTTTGATACATTTTCCCGTTTCTGCTGAGCACTACTCCGAGTAAGTGTACTTCTGCTCTATCTACAAGGTTTTTCCTCTGCAGTGAACCAAAACTTCCTACTCTTCATGACCAATGTGCATCAACTTGCTCTTTCCAACATTTAATATCATGCCTTTTCTTTCTAGCTTAGTTAATAAAACAAATAATCAAGATCGGAGGTACTTTAGGGGGAAAAAAAATATTAAAAATTCGTCATTCAAGCCCAGTCAGGTTGCATCGATGAGAAAAAAGCTATCTTTAAATTAAAAATAACTTAATAACACACTGACATAATGTGTTATAATTAAAATTGTTAGAGCCATTTTCGAGAAAATTATAAAATCAATAATTTAAAGAGGCACTTCTGGTCAGCCGATTTTGATGAAAAAATTGCAGTAACATCACAGGCATATACAAACCTTAAATAAGCAATTTTAGTTTTTTTTTCAGGACATTTCATTTTTGAGCCTAGACTGTTCACATACACACAGACTATTGTGTGAGGTGATTATTTAGACTCAAGGGACCTCAAAACGTGTATTTCTGTTGAAAACTCAAATTTGAAAATTTTCATGACCACAATACTTTCCCTTAAAATATATAGGTAAGTGAAAGTAAAATTAACAAATCTAATGTCCTAATTAATAATCAATCATTAAAACAAAGTAAGTATTATAAATTAGAAGATGGAAAGAGGTAGCACAGGACCGTGCAGATTGATTGGTTGTAGTGTAATAAATACAAATAAAATAAAATAAAGCCTTGAAAAGTAATTTTTATATTACATTACTTAAAAATAGTTCAACCTGAAACAATTGGTAAATTGATTATAATTACTCAGTAAGTAATTTTAGATATTATTATATGAAAAAGTGTGTTTGAACAACTTGAAAGTAAAAAGTCCATTTTTTAAATTTTACAAAACATTGAGATATAAATTAAGAGCATCCAAACTTCATGCCATTATTGTTACAATAAAGGGTGGTCTATTGGTAGTAGGGAAAATTTTTAATATTTTGTACAACAAACTTATTTTGAAGCCTCTTGCGGAATCTGAAGATATAAATATATAACAACAAAATTTCATAGTATACCTTTACAAGAAGAGGTATTTTCAATCAGAAAAATAATCATCTCTGATCGCAGGAAAACTCCCATGCGATTCGTGAGCACCATTTTCAGTGCCATGTGTGGTTGGGGATAATAGACAATATTTTAATAGGTCCATATTTCTTGCTGCCCCGACTCAATGCGGGCACATTTCTGGAATTTCTCAATAATGATTACTATGATTTAGTTGAACATATTCCACTACAACTGAGAAGGGACATGAGGCTTCAATTAGATGGTTATCCTTCACATCACGGAAGAAGACCACGACAATGGCTATATGTTAATTATTCCAATCAATAGATTGGCTTGGACCAGAGGCTTGGCCTGCAAGCTCTCCAGGCCTGACATAACTGAATTTTTTTTTGTTTGGGGTGACATTAAACAAAAAGTTTATGCAAGTCTTGTTAATGACCTTAATTCCTTATGAAGAAGGATAATTGAATCTTACGAAACAATAACACATAGCCAGTGCTGTTGAAGAAAGATGCTGAGCCTTTCTTAATGATCAAGGATATCACTTTGAACAACATTTAATATGAATTTAATACATTAATATTTCTGTTGATTTGTAATAAACAAATTATTTCCATTGAACTATATTTTTCTTATAGTCATATAATAATTGAATATAATCCATTGTTTAGAAGAGAAAAGTTTAATATTTTGTAAAAAAACGTTATTTTTAAGACTCTTGCAGAACCTATAACTATAGAACAAAATTTTGTAGTGTTTTTTATATAAAAAGGCAACTTGTGAATGCTAATTATAAATTGTGTGGTGAAAAAAGAATTTTTCATTCCACCCTTGTGTTTATGCCTCGATTTACATTATAGACCATATTGCATAATTTGGTATTTCACATTACTTGAAAGAAAGCATTCATAAATATATTTATAATGAATAAAATAATATTAATATCTAAAAATAGGATTCAATCTTGGTAAAACTTTAGCTCTATCATAAAATACATAATGACTACAATATATTTTATATTTGGTGTATTGCTTAGCATTGCTGACTACATGCCATGAATGTATGTATGAGTTACGATTTCCAAAACCCTCTAGCAATTTTCTCAAAGTAGTTTGGTCAGGAATGGAGTCCACTCAGCTTCAGGGAGCATGATTGAATACTTACTTGAACAGTCACAGCTAATAAACGCAACTGCTTGATGTATAATATAAATTAAAATGAATGGCTATCATACAATTCTTATGATATTAAAATCATTGTGTCAACTGATTCAGTTTGCCTTATGTCATTAAAGATATGTAGAATTCTTTTTGTCTTTTGAATAAATTATTTATACTAATTGTCAAACTGTATGTTACATATGTTTATGGATATGTAATAATGTACTTAAATGTTTTTAGTTGATAAAGAATATTATCAGATTGGTAAATAATAATCAGATCATCAAATTGTTCAAATCTTATTGTAAATTATGCAGTAAAGATTTTTAGAGCATTATATAAATTAAACATAAACTATTTTATTTCTGAAAAATGAAAACATGAACAAATTTAATTAATGAAATATAACTATACACAGGCATGAATCACAGCCAGTTCAAATTCAATCATTGTCATTGAAAGTCCATAAAAAGTATTTGTTGATTATAGGAGGCATCTTATATATAAAATTCATTATTAGTTTAGCTAAAATAAAAAATAAATTAAATAAAACATTCTCAGCTCATGCATTTAAAACTTAAAGCATGCTTAAAAAGAAGAACCTAGTATATAGGAACATGAAGCAAAAGCAATGACGTAAAAGGTATACATGCATAAAAATTAATATATATATTTAACTTATATATAAACACACACATATATATTTCAAATGTTAAAACATGCATAAAATTGTTATTGGTTTTATTGCTCTTTAATAGTGTTAATCTAACCTGAAAAAGTCTTCTTCATATAGATGAATGCTTATGGAGGAGGATGTAGGATTAGGAGGGTTTACCTTTATTATCACACTTCATTATTTTTTTCTTTTAATCAAAAAAGGAGTATTTTGCTTAATGATCTAAGAGACTTTATTTGGGTGCTTGTTTTTAATATGATATTTGAGATTGTCTTTTCGCGAATAGCTATTGTCACAATATGGGCAGGGGAGAGCCTGCGGGAGGTGACTGTTGGCGTGGTGCCACTTGTTGGTCACCGCTTTCCCACAAAGGCAGCACTCGAAGAGAACTGGTGAGAGCCTCAAGAATAAACCATCATAGCCCTTAACCCTCCGCCCACGCCACACTGCAACAGAACGACATTCGCAACAATACTAAAGTCTTCCGTAATCACCACCCCAGCCCATGGATAGGGGTAGCTTGTCAGCTTCGAAAAGCAGTGTTATAATTTAAACTCAACAAAATGGTATTTTGTATTCTGCTGTTTTCAATCTGGTAATTGCTGTTTTTCTAATAAGATGAATAGGTTAATACACAAATAACAATTAATAAAATTATATCTTTGATACAATAATTTATAGATATATATATTTATCATTGCATTTCACTCATCAAGATATATGTAAAATAAACTTCTATCCTTGGTTCATTCATCCAGATCACAATAGAAAAAAATATACAAAAGTTTAAATTAAGTCTTAAAATATATTAAAAATTTACAATTTCATACTTAAATTAATCACAATAAGAAATACCACATTTTATTACGTATTTTTATGTATACATTAAGAAATAGCACATTTTTATATTATCAATAGATAATTATATATTTTATAAGCAACTATAAATCAAAATAAATTTGTTGACTCATATCTATATATATATATATTTATAAACATACAGTACAGTATTTAAGCAAAAATAAAAATAACTTTTAAAAAAGCATATTGCAGACTCACTAATGACTAGCGTCACTTGACAGAAGAAACTTTTTAAAGACCCATATTCTATCTATTGACAGATAAGTTAGTAGACTACAAAAGGAAGATATCTTACCTTCTATTATTTTTATTTTGGTATTATTCCATAATATCAATCCCTAATCCACAACAACGGGAATCAATAAAGGTTTCAGAATGTTTTATCAGTATAAAGACAAATGTGCTTATAAGAAAAAAAAAAAAAAATTGTCTGAAACTTATTTTTTCTTTAATTTTTTGTAATATGTTGTCTATTTAGTTTCCATAATTCTCTTTACATTTTGCAAAATTTCTTGAATTCACAATTTGATTCAGTTTCTAGATATTCAACTAATTCTTTTATAGATCATTACATATTAAATTAAAAAAAAAGCAATATTAACGATATTACTTATGTCATATGGCAAACACCACCAATCAATAAAAATCTCAATTAAAATAATTCTTTGTGCATCGAGTGGGCTTAGTCAAGATTTGATAGATGTCATCTATCCAAAGATATTCAAATTACCCATAGCTATAATAATAATAATGCTAAAACACTACTTCCACTTCATGATCTTCTTACATGAATCACAGCTATTGATTTCTGCTCACTTGAGGACAAAGAAAATAACCCCTTAGGCACTCTTGTAAAAATTCAGTCATATAAGGATTCTGTTAATTTTATTTTAATTCAAAATAAAATTGATCCTTACCAACAAAAGATAACACATTGCAAGGCTATACTACTACTTTAGCCAAATAAATATAATCAGTACGTTTTTAGCGGCCAACAGCTTGTTTGAGCAATGATTATTCAGTTTTATATGAGGGAGGATTAGGAGTTGATATTTTAAAATATTACATTTATTTTTTCAAATGAAATTTCTAACTAAATACAAGACACAAAACTACCTAAATAAAGGTCAGATAAAATTTTACAATAACGCTACAGTTTTTATTACATTATGTGATGAAAATGTAATTAACAAATGCTATCATAAGCAGATTAATACATAATCTATATTCAAGATTCGTACACACCTAATATAGATAACAAATACTAATTGTTATTACTTATGATATGTTATACTTAAGTACCTAATAACATCACAATAAAAAGATTAATAGCTATTAATTTTTTTTAAATGAGTTTAACGTTGAAAAAGAAGGTTCAACTGAAAGGAATAAACATATTGCATTCTAAATAAGTCTTAAATTTATACATAAAAATTGGTCCAACAATTACATCACTAACAATTATATAAATGAAATTATTTATAGGCAAACAATAATTTAACGCCAGACTAGAATAAGCATACAATAGTATTTTAACATAAAAAAAAAATTTAACTTTAAAAAATCATAAAAAACAATTAAAACCTTTTATTTTTTCTCCTCTGCATATCAGATAAATTAACAATTATAATAACTATCTTATTTTAAATAAACGTAGATTTTACTTTCAAAATTTAATTAAGATAAGATTTGTTAAATCGTATCCAAATATTTGCAGAGGATCTCCATATTTCTTATGGAGATCCATATTTCTAAGGAGATAAGAAACCTTAAAATTAATTACACCAACATTTAAAAGATGTATTATCTAATGAATTTATATTGGACAAGTCAAATTTTGGAAACAATTAAAAAAGTGGTTAATGGATAAATAAAATTAAAAAGAAAAAAAGAAAGATTGACAGATTGCATTAACAATTATAGATATATGCATCTTTTAATTATAAAAAGAATTAAATGAAAAGAGACAAATTTAAACAACAGCTTAATCAATACTAAGTTTAGCCAAGAAAATTTATAATATTTAAAAATAATTTAGTAAATATTCACTAATTCTGAGCAAATTTCTCATAATATTATAAATTTCACATTTATCACTGTAAGTGATAAGAAATAAAACAAAACTGAACAAGTAATAGTACAGTACTAAAACAAAACAAAAAATCTCTTTTTTTGGATATTTTGCTTTACATTAATCACAAATAAAGGAGAAAAAGGTGGAGCATCTTCAAAGTAAATACCTTTAAAATTTCATGAAAAATAAATAGGTTAGTTGATCTACTCTCATGACCATATAAATGTACCTCAAGTTAAAAAAATGATAAAACATTGATATATTAATTCACAAAAGGTAAAAATTAAGACACTTGGTTTTATTTTCCTTAGAAAGATAATAAGTCAACTAAGTCAGAGGAGTGAAGAAGTGAGATGTGGCGAATTACAAAATTTATGAAATACACTAATATTTGAAATACATAAATTCTTCAAAACAAAATGATTTCAATTTCATGTTAAACTAATACAATGGTAATTATCAGAAGAAAATTACAATCAGAAATAATGCAGAATGAACATAATAAGAATATTACTGATTAAGTAACTTTAAAGATGTTCCTCCATTTTACAAATATTGGAAAAAAAGTTAATTTCATTAAAATGAAGGTTGGTTCATGTTAATTTCATTAAAATGAAGGTTGGTTCATTTTAATTTATTTACAAAGTCATTAGTGAAATAGATACTTAGTGTCTAAATTAAGACATTTTAAATAATTCAGATTATAATAAACAATGCATGTTCAAGGAATTTTGATTATTACTACATTATAGACATGAAGACAGAGAAAAAGTTTTCAATATGGAATCTGACGGAAGGGACGCTCAGAACTGCGTATTGCTCTGGGATGAACAAACAGGAGGATTCGGGAAGAAGCCAGCAGGAGGTGGAAAAGGAAGACCATAAATGTAGCGTGGAATTCCATTGAGACTGACAGTTTCTCCATGTATCCTTCTTGTGTGACATTTGAGGGTGTCGATTCTAGAGTATACTGCGTCACAAAATGGGCACTTGTGATTTCTGGAGAAGTGGGTTTGAAGGTGGTGCCATCGTGAACGTACAGTCTTCGAACACAGTAGGCACAGGAACATTCCAGGAGAAGTAGGATCTGGGCGGAACACAGCCTCATTTGTTTTTGCGGCACTCAGGCGTTTTCCTATACATACATAATTCCCACCCTCCTCATATAGCCAGAAATAAAGATACATAGTTTAATAATCCCTCAAAAATTTCATGAAAACAATTATAAACGTAAGATTTGAAATTGATTTTATCTGCTTATGTTGAATATCAATATTCACTAAATAATAATTTTTTTAAATTTCTACAAGATAATGGAGAGGAGGAGAAGGGGGGGAGAGGAGGAGGAGGAGGAGGAGGAGGAGGAGGAGGGAAGAGGGTTCATCCTTAGAAACAGAATAAACATAATAATATCAGTCAAAAATGAAAAAATAGTAGAGATACAATACTATCATAATAAACTGAAGAAATTGAACGACAGATCATAGAAACATAAAGAAATAATTTTTAGATGCCAATGTATGTTTCTTGGCACACTTAAGATTTTAGTAATTACAATAATGACAGCATAAAAATAATAAATAAAAAAACCGAGAGACAAATTGATTAAAACATATGCTAGTTACTAAAACTAGTACTAATTGAATGTTTATACAAAAATAAATGAACAATCAATAATTAGAACAATTTTTAAAAGTAGTTTGAGGAGGAAAAACTACATTAAGATAAGAATAATTATAATTGAACTTTTCTATATACAATTGAACAACTATCACTGAAGATTTATATGAAACTTTGTCCGATCATGATAGATTTAATTCATAGCCAATATTTCAAGAAAATGTGGTATCATATATATTGAACAATATTTTAAATAAAGACTGATAATTGCTATGTGACATCTAGCGATGACCCCATAAATTTATTTCAATGTAGCAATATAGTTCTGAATTAACACAATTAAATATTTCCTAATCACTAACCGAGATGGAAGATGATATGGCCGAGCATGCTGTGGTGGGGGTTCCAGATTGTCCAATTCTGAACATAGTGGATTCGATTCCTATCTGTGACGTTTCATATTTATGAATTTTGACACTCACAATCTGGTAACTATATGGTAGTAACATCAAGGTAGCTATCTGGGGTTGGCAAAAAGGACCACAATGTCCTCCTGCCACATTGGTTCCCCTCTGCATAAAGCACTTTCTTTAACTTTTCATGAACAATAAATCCCCGAGAAAAAGTAATAATAAAGTTTCAAAGATAATTAAATTATCCATAATACTAAATTAAAAAATAAATAAAAAGAAGTAAGGAAAATTGTTCGAGTGAAAACGTCAGATATTTATCATTTCTGCATATATATTTTTATGCCCTAAAGTCATTCAGATATAGTAAACTTAGCTAGTTTAATATTAGATTTCATTAAATTAGGTATTATTATGTAAAAATAATAACATCTAAAAATATAATATGTTTATTCTGCTTCTTCATCACTAAAGAATGTAATAAAGTGAAAATATAAATCAGAAAAAAATTCAGATTTTTATTCTGGTAGGCTTTACAAAAATTATTATTTTCAAATTTCACCAACAAATAAAGGTTGAACCTCCATATATTGAATTTTCAAAGATCAAAAATTGAATTATAAATTACATTATTATTATAAATTATAAAAATTGAATTATAAATCAATTTTTTTTTTTTCAAAACTTCCAATTTTCATTTGGAAAAGCGAAATATTCATTAACAAAAATTAAGTTTTCAATCCTTCATTAGAAGTGAAGAACAAATTTTTATTTGTAAAACCATAAAGCAGGCTTGCAACTAAATTCACGTAAAAAATTAATGAAAAAATTGAATTATAGAAATTTTCAGATGTCAAAGAGAATTTAATAATAGGATGATTATCTTCATCAATCAGATGACTATATGATTCAAAATTGATGACATCAATCATTTATTCAAGCATTCAAAGATGATGACCATAAGGAATTAAAAGGACGTAAAAAAAAATAAAACAATCAATCAAAAATCATTTCAAAGCATTAAACAGAGTTTGAGATTTATTTTAAATATTTCTAAAGAAATTTTAATCTTCCTGAATAAAATTGAACATTTTTTTTATTCATGAAATTTTCAACCATATTTTAAAAAAATCTGGTGCAGTTTGAGCATCACACAACTTTCACTTACCAACCTTAGAGTAGATAGGTATTTTCTTGAAAGCCAAAGTGTAAACAATGGTATAACTTCATTTAAAACAATTAATAACCATGTTTGTTTTTCCCTCCAATCGAATCAGTTAAATTTATACATTTCCATTACTTTACATTTCCTTTTATGACTGTTTATAGTATCAAACAATACTAATGGTTGTGGGGAAAATGGATTTTTTGGAAATATTCTCAGTTTTTTCGGAAACATTTACCACGAACCTCGTCGAAAAAATAAACTTAACATTAGTAAATATTGCATATAATTAGATTTATATTAGTAAATCCTCAACATTTCACATGAAACCTTTTTTGAAAATTATAGATGTGATACATAAAAGTTAAACTAATAATATGAAAACCCTGAACAGAGGAGAAGCGAGTATCTGTAAAGGAAGAGGATCGGCAAAAATAGAGCGCTCTTGACTAAATAGCCGATACCGTAAAAGCTTCCTACCATTATTTCCCCTTTAGTTACCAATACATTTAAATCATTCATTATATTTAACCATTTTTTATAGCAGGTTCAAATGCGAAATGGCTAATTATTTCAAATAAAAAAAAATTAAAGTTACTTTTTGGACTCAGCGAACCTCAAAATATGCATTTCCATTAAAAATTCAGACTAAAAAATTTTTATGAACGCAATACTTACACTTAATATATATATATATTACATATGTATTATATAATATATATATAAGTAAGTGAAAGTAAGAAAACAAACAGTAAATGTGAATAGAGAAACCTAATGACATGAAAACTACCCATTGGTTGCACAAAATCTAATATTTTTTAAAACAACTTAAGCAATATATATTCAAGAAGCGAATTAGACAAAAAAAAAAAAAATAATAAAATTATACTATTCATACATACATTTTAGGTTACACACCTGTAACTAAAATGCAATCTGTTCGTTAAAAAAAAAAATTGTACATATACATGCCTGGCCTGATTGTTTCATTACTTTCTTAAGCCTTAAAAATTTAACTTAATGTTCAATTATTTTCAAGTATATGCTAATACATAATAAATTCTAAAAATGTATTGTTTTAAAAGGAACTTAACTTTAAAGTTTGATACACAGAGGTTCAACAATAAATATGTGAATTAGTAACGTATTGATGACTTTATTTAGTAGCCTTACAAAACTTCAATTATGAACCATGCTAACCAGAAAGCAATCTACGTAATTTTATCATTAAATACTTTTTAATTGAAAACATTTTTTAATTTTTTCAAGTACTAATTTTATGAGATAAAGAATATGTTTTAAAATTAAATGGTGAAAAAGTTTGGAAAAGATGAACTAACATTCAAATTACTGTATTATTATTTACAGAGGATTAAGAAAATATTAAATGTTTTGAATATCACATCTAGCTAAATAGTCATAATACAAATATAAATAGAAAATACTTTCTCATAAAGATAATTTTACAAAATAAGTCCAGAACAAGATAAACAGTTTGAAATAAATAATTGAAACCAAACTTAAATTTTCCAATAGATTTAATAAAAAGTAATTTTATTCAAGCAGCAATTACAAATCTCGTCTATACTAAGAAATATACATAGTCATTCAATCAACTCAAGATTTATATAACAAATATAAAATAAAAATATGATTTAATTTAATTTTAATCACTTTCTCAACATATTGGATATTACGATAAGTTTATGAACTTTAAAATTAATATTAACCATTTAATAAATAATAAATAATAAATGAGATGTCCCCTCCTTTAGAGCTAATGCAATGAAGATGAAAGTGAAATTATCTATTAAAAAATATATATATATTTTTAATATTGTTATTTTGTGCATTAGAATATTGCAGTGAGTAGCCCAGGTTAAGAACAGACTGAAAAACACCACAAGCGTTAGGGAACATATGCATAGAAGAAGGAATGGTACAAACAATTCGATTCTCTGCAAGTATTAATAATTATTGATAACTTATGAATAATTAATTAGTTTTTATAATATCCGTCCAGAGAAAATAAAAGTTATCTTAGAGACAATCCAGTAGGAACAAATGTCAAGGAGGAAGAGTTGAATCCAAATTTAGTGCAAAATAAATAATTCGGTACACATTTTTATTTGAATAAATACTTAAAACTCTGTAAATTTATTTGTCATAATTATCTTACTTTACCTTTACAATAGATATGTAAAAATGTTTTTGCATTAATCAATTTTTTCTAAATGATGAGGTTGTTCTACATGAAATGTTATTTTTAGAGGAATAATCATAAAAAAAAAATATAACAATTTATTAATCAGTAATTAACTATTAGAGCAGAACTTCAATTGGTAAGAGTGAACATTACAATGATCATACATTTCAGACCATGTAAAACCTGCAGGAATTCAAAACTGAATTTCTTTATCACCAATAAGAACAATCAATTGTCTTTTTGAAAATTTAGATTGTTTTCCAAAAAATCAAGTGTTTTAAACTGGTGATAGGATACAAATTGCCTTTCAGAAATTCAATTCATTTTGAATTTGAAAAGTTTATTACAGGAGGATAAAAAACTGTTTATTAGAAAAGTTGTATAGAATCCAAAGAGAATTTTTAGAGTAATTAATAAAACTAGATTACTTCTATTTATATTTTATAAAAATTGTTTGAGATTTTATATTGTTATCTTTTATTACTTTATTCCTATAATTACAGGTATTTAATTAAAAACCAATATTTAGGAGAACACAATTTAGTGTACCTCACACATCCTTAGCGCAGTTTCAAGACTTTATTATCCTCTATAGAAATATCTATATTTTCTAAACTAATGTTACCAAACAATGTTTCATTTAAAAAGTATGGATATCAATCAAAAAGCAAAGCAATCGTAATAGAATCTAAATTAACAGTTTTGGATAACTATGAATCCAGTGTTGATCAATCACACAGTTAGGAACAAAATTATTTTTAAAATTACAGGTAAAACTGTGATAAAGAGAGAAGACACCATTATTAAAATTTCTTGTAAATAGGCTGAAAAATAAACAGGCTAACTAATATGAAGACTCCAATCCCTGACAAAAGAGCTCCAATCAATAAACAAATGAAAATTTAGTTCAAACTTTGTAAAATATATGGGGTTTCTGGCATAGGCTCAGACTTTGGAGGGTTGCTCGCCCCCTAATAAAAATATAGAGGGAAAGAGAATATTGTTTTGTCCCCTAATATTTAGTAGAACAAAAATAAAATCAGAATCAATAACAATTAATATACATGAATGAATAAAATAAGTTAACTAAAATCAATTAAGAAAATGAGAAAAGTTTAATAAATGGCTAAGCTAGGAGCTAGAAGTAAGCAAATATTTTACCACGCCCTCTGTTGTTTTATTGCAATTTTGATTTATAATCAAAGATAGTTAGTAATATGTAGCAACTTATCCTAGCATTTTATGATTCATTCATGTGCACCCTTCCATTTTTACGAAAAGATTTTACATATTTCCTGAGTCAAATTTAAAGCATCGAAGAATTGAGAGTTTATCTCACTGCTTCAGACCTTTAAATACAAATAAAAATAAGTAATAAATTCAATTGCTTTGATAACATATTTTCAAATATACTCATAATATATAAACTTTTTATCATAATTGTATTTTAACATTTTATGCAATTTGCACCTGCGCTGCTGCGCACATAGCAAATTTCATGTATTAGGCATTAGCTGCAAGTTTGCTTGATTAGCTTTTATTTTGTTATTATTGTAGGAATAGGTCCCTTGGGCATTTTCTTTTTAGCCTGTGTCAATCAGGTAACAGGGAATAGAAAGGACTAATGGAATGAAGTGATTTTGAGTTAGAGAATGGAATGAAGTGTATTTGTCGTGGATGTAGAATTTTACTATTGGGATATTTAAGTCGTAATGTATAGTGTTATTTGAGATGTACCAAGGTACATTGCAAATTTTTCATAGAATTATTTATTGTTGTTTGTATTTTATTTATGTGTGTTGGTTTAGCCGAATCCCAAATTTCTGCTCCATATTTTCAAATTGGTCTAAGTATGGTGTTGTAGATTGGTTGCTTGTTTCGTAAGATAAGTGAGGATCTATAATCCAGAAGATGTGAGAGTTGGTTATATTGTCCAGTCAGTTCTTATAATTTTAGTATGTATATTCTAGGTAAAAGTTTTTTTTTATAAGTAGAGTCCGACGTACTGTACATAGTATTTTGAAGGTACTGGATTATTGTCAATCGTTATGGATGAACATAATGCTTTTCTAAGAGAGAAACTTACATGGGTGGATTAGCTAGTATTAATTTTGCGTTTTTAGAACCACTTATATAAATCATAGAGGTGGTTTTGAAGGGCAATTGTTTGTTGGAAGGTCAGCGCCAGAATGGAAAGTCTGCACCTATGGTTTTGGTTCTAATTTAGAAACCATGACTGAGAAATTAGAATGAAAATTTCATTTGAATAACAACAGGAGCCGAGATAAAAGATTAAAAATGAGGTAAATGAACAAATGGAAAAAAATAAAAGAGCTCGACATAAAAAAAGGAGTAACAAGTTGGCAGAATTTGTTAAAATAAATAAATAAGTAAAAACAAAATTTAATATTTTAATTTGATATTATTATTACACCAGAAGTTCATTGAAAACTTGGATATATGTATATACTGCTTAATAAATATATGATTAAAAAAATTATTATTAACTTTTTTATTCGATACACATCCAATTAATTGATTGAATTAAAAAATACTTAATCATATATATATATATTATCTTTATATATTAAATACTTAATCATTTATATATAAGCCTAAGTAGCAATTAGAAATTTGTGACTTGAATAAAATTCGATTTGAATAGCTGCTGATTAGATTTATTATGTAAAAGACTGCTACAATATTTTAATGGAAGGGAAATCACAATGCTTTTTAAACATGGCAATGCAAAATAATCAAATTATAGATTGGAATAATACAAAAATAAAAAAAGTGAAATTATTCAACAATGAAAAGTATGAGGCTACATTATATAATATTTTAATCTTGTTAACGACAAAATTTTGAATACAGAAAAATAAGATGAAAATATGTAATGATGAAATAGAAAAAGAGAAGAGGGATTGCATGTCAAATGATATGGATAGGACCATTAATGTTATACTAAAAAAAATTAAATTGTCTTGAGAATTTTAAGTTGTTTAAAGTCTTGCCAATGTTAGATTAAGAAGTAATATAAATTGAATGATTATTATCAACTTAAACAGAGAATCGAATTGTTACAAGCCATGTGTATGATTTGCCCAAAACACGTGGTGTACTTACCGTCTAATATGTCCGAAGGATCTTGAAGAGATGCTCCTTGCTCATACTCCATCTTCATGGAGGATCCTTGTCCCTTTTCATCCTTTCCATCTTCCTACAAGAAAACTTTTTTTTACAATGCTTACTAATCTTTGTTATTACACAGAGAAACTCTTTAAGGATTTAAACTAAAAACAAAATTTAAACTGTTAAAATACGATTAATAGAATAGAATGTTATAATATAAAATATCGGAAATAATAAAACTGATAAATGATTAAGAAGAATATAAGAAAAATCAATCAGTATATATCTATAGAAGTAATAGATACTTGACATTGATGGAAATTCTGATTAATTATTATTTGACTAAGATTTGTCAAGTGAAAACGTAATAAAACAATTTAGATCAGTTTATAAATATATAACTGTATTTCGGGGAAGTTTATAATGTTCTCATATGCACAGCTACAAAGAATTAACAGGTTTATAGAAAGTATTTGTTTAGGAACATTCCATTTAAATAATTTATATAAGAGAGACAAAAAAGAAATATTAGATATAGGCTACTTCTTGTCATGTAACATAGAAAATAAGCTAAATTGATTGAATTTTAGAGGAGTAATAAAATAAAATAAAAAGTATATGGTTATCAAAAATTACTTCCTGATACAAACAAAAATAAATTATATTTATTTTCTGTGTGCCAAAGTTTCAGGCCTTCATCAGGGCTGCTCATTCAAAGGGATTTAAATGAGTCAATGACGATGATTTGATGGGATGACTCATCCGAATCTCTTTGAACGAGCAGTCCTGCAACTTAGGCCAAAAAAACATCAACACAAAGAAAACAAATATAATTTATTTTTGTGTACTTCCATGGCTGCGATTCCCAACATATTTCCTGATATAATTTTTGAAAATTATTTCTTATCAGATAACATGAAAGGTATTAAAATGGTTGATAACTGTTGACTGTTGGAAGATATTGATGAAGAGAAGTTGGTTGAGGATTGCATTCATTGCAAGCAGAGATGGGAAAATGCTACTCTGAGTATTTTTAATGATGTACTGTACAATAAATACTAAAATCTTTATTAAATTAACTTAATTAAATAATGAATGAAAAATATCAACATATCCAACAAACAAGTATTCACATTTGCAAAATAATGGAGTGAAAGAATAAAAATTAAGGCACAGAATTAAATTCCAGACCATGCTTCCCAGTAGGCTGTTTAATGCATGAAGTAAGATTAATACTCAATTAATTATTGGGAGAGGAGGAATAGCAAAAAATAAAATAAAAAAGAAATCGGACAATAAAGTGATGATAATTTAATTCATAACAGTTCCCACAATGGTGGTCAGTCAAATCCACTCATAACCTCAATTTGTGGTTACGTTTAACCAGCCCCATAATTTTAATTACTTATTGGACTATCTTCATAAAGCTGAATGGATTCATTTGCACATTTATTATTAATACAAGAGAGAAAGATTAGGAGTTTCAAAACTACTTCTATGAAAAATATTTTCAAGACTCCCATGATTCAAATATACGTATATTTTCAGTGCCCAATGATTTAGTAATTCAACATGGAGTGCAATAAGGCCTATACAGGTCAGCTGTTGGAATTAACTGAGTTCAGGCAGTTCTGCAACCCAAGCGAATCTTCATATGCTCATTCATTACACTGATTTACTGAGGCGAAGATCAGCAATGTGGGCATTGTCAAAGTCTATGTATCACAACCATATAAATGCATTATATCAACAAAGTGAGAAGGAGTTACACTAATGATACTAAGTGATTACATAACATAGGCTGTTTAAAATATAAATTTGGTCATGAGTAAATTAATTAATCAAATGAAGCAATAAATGTATTTCAATAACATGAAAAACAAATTTTTTTCCATACAAATTACTATAAGGTGTGTAAAATTATTATGCTAGATTACAAAAATGACAAGGTTCCAATAAAAAGATAAGAGTATTTTTAAAAATTAGCCCTCCGAGAAAGAATTTCAGCAACGAAAAGAAAAAATATATGCAGAATTCTGAACGTAATAATTTACAAGAACATTAAACTACTTACTGCTTCTTAAGGATGAAAAAATTGAGTTCTTAAGTTGATGAAAGAACAAAGCTATTTACTTTAGAAAACTAATTATTGTGTAACATATTTGCTCCAAGAAAGATGTATAGACAGGAAATTATAGATGAATACTTAACGAAGAATTATGTGACCTTGGCATGATTAACAATATTTGGAGTAATAGCATTGCAGACATTAACATAACCTGATGATCCAGCTTGAAGACAATTTATTCTAATGAGCTGTGAGTCATAAAAAATAAGTAGTGGTACTAATCCTATCCCTAAAAAGGGTGGTCATCTTTGCTTACTACGGACCAAGTAATAAATTTTAAAGCTAGAAACTAGTTTTCTAATTTAAAAATATCAATAATATAGATTAATGCAAAAACGTCTCTTTGATAAGATTAGGAAGAGGAAGAACAATGTAATTAGGGATTCGTCAACAAATTAAAAGAGCTGATGAACATTGTGATAAACAGAACAGAGAAAGTAGCATTAAAGAATTATTCATAGTCATGCAACATTTTTATGTAAAAAAAGGCATAAAGAGTAGAACATTTAAAAAAAAAATTGGAAAAATCGACAACAGAATTTAAATTAACAACAGAATTTCATTAAATTGCAAACTAATGAAATGAGTTCACATTATCAGAACATGAGTTGAAAATGGACAACACACTATGAAGAGTAATGATTTCCTTTATTAAGACATCGAGATATTTATCAATTATTTGACTACATGAAAAAAAAAATCAGGAGCTAAAAGATCTTGTTCAATGATTATATTATTGTCTTTTTGTAACTAAAAAACAATAAAATTAGAATTGCTTAGTAATAATGAAATATTTTGAAATAAAATGTGATGAGGGTTTAATACTAACATTTGTTCTTTTTTCTTTCTTTTATTTTTATCAATTTAAAATACTTTTAGTTCATTTCATGAAAACAAGTAACAAAATAATTTATAGATTACACAAATTACAATATAAAAATGAAGAGCTACATAATGGGCATAATAATTAGCAGATGATTTCTCATGAAAAAAAAAATAATATCAAGTAAAAAATACAAAGCAGCCACAATGTAAACAAAACAAAAATATAACAATTAAAATAAATACCCACTACATGGATATGCTTAAACAAAATTTTGTACTAGAATAAACAATCACAATATTCCTTCTATCACAGTTCATGGCATAAAAAGTTTTTGTGGAAAACCATATTGTTTCAACATGTATTTATTAAAAAAACAGTTAAAAAGAAAAGATGTATAATTTAAATCTTACATCTATAAAAATATTTTAAAATGAATAGAACAATACTTTTACAACACAATTTTTCATACAAATATTCATAAAGGCATCACTATATTCCTTTTTAAGTTTCTTGATATCAAAGTATAACAAAATTTAAAAAGCATAAGGTTTTCCACATAAACTTGTCAACTTTAAAACACAGCCCATAAAAACAAAATTTAAGCCAAAATTTTTCTTACAAATATAACTGATTTAATCAGATAATGAATAATCGTGACTACAATAAAGTAATATTTTACATTAAAAATAAACTAATTAATTATGAAAGATAAAACCTTAAAACAAAAATAAAACTCATGATACTTATTAAAAATATATTATAACTATTTCAAATCAAGAAGATAAATGTGTCATAATATATAGAAGTTTTTTATTTAAATATAAACTTCTTCTAAATTCTGAAGAAATTGATATTTAACAACAGCATGCCTAAAATACAAAAACATAGAATCAACTTAAGCATAAGTGAATAAATGTTTTTGTTTAAATATGTCTACGAACGCTATACAACAAAATAATTAAAATAACAAATCTCTAGTTGGGAAGAAGACCAGTAAAACATAAAAATTAACTTTTCCATAACCATATTTTTGATTATGTAGAAGTGGAAAAAGTTGTGGTTGCTTTCTTCTACAGTAGTGATATGTAAATATGTACATATACATTCACAAACATACCAGTCTACTAAAAGTTAATTTATGAGTTGTGCCAGCCATCTTCCAAAATAGCAAAATATTTTTTAAAATATAAAGAACTATTATGCTTTAATTCATCTCAAGTTGTGTGAAACAGTGTTTTAATATATTCCTGAGTCCATTAAAAATAAATGAGAAGATGACATTAGTTTTCAGGCAGTTTAAGTATGATGCTCGATACACTGCCTCGAAAGAACAATCTAGGGTCAAAACCAGGTATGTTTATCTGAAATTCCCGTTAAAAAAATTAAGCCAACAGGATGTAAAAGAACATTTCTGTTTTGGATATAAAATATGTAATGTGGGAAAAAAAAAAAAAAATTAGTTCAATATAAATTCTAAAATAAAGAAAAAAATATTAAAATTACTCATTGGTAATGAAATTATAATTTGTCATTTTTCCAAGAAATAGTTAAGATCGTGAAGCTCTATTTATTTAGTTTCTTGTAATTAACAACTTAATTTTTTTTAACTGGTTAACAGACCTTATAAAATTTATAATATAACTTCATCCAATTTTTTTTTTAAACATTAATTTCCATAAATAATTTTAATAATTGATAAAAACAATGGTAACATTATAGAACTTCTAATACTAAAGTACTAGCATGTATTTGTACACATATACACACACGCTATATGGAATGTTAATGCTATCAAATAATTTGACAGACTTAAAATACTTCGAATATAATTAAATGTTTATATCATGAAATATAAACCTGAATTTTATTCACATCCAATCACTTGAATTTAGAAAAAGGTAAATAGAATTTCATGAAATGTTGCTCCTTATGCATTACTGTAACTAATAGAACAATATTTACTGATGATAAAATCAGATTCTAAATATTCATTAACTAGTATTTTTTAGTAATGCAAAACCAAAGTAATAAAGAGTAATACAAATAATAAAGATGAAGAAGGCAATTTTCTTCAGGTTCAGGATAGCATAATGAATGGAGGGAAGTATATAAAACAGGTTTAATAATGGCTCAA